GCGGGTCGGTTGGCTAGCTTGGATGGATCCAGCGGGGAGGTTCATCGGGTGGCCAGAGTTGTTACCACCACTTGATGAAGAGGTATTGTGATTCATTTCTCAATGCAGCTAAACCAAAATGCAAACATAAAAGGATCAATCACAACCATCTTGTCAGCTGTATTTTGTTATAGAGCGGGAATTCCAGCCATGATGACATACACAGCTAAATGGGATGAAATCTGCCCGTTCTCCAGTGATTCAAAGGGCCTCGGACACACTGGTATGGTGTGAATTGTGGACAAATCCAAATCAAAACAGTCAGTTAAAGTGATCTTCATGTGCTGGGGCCCAGGAAACACCTCAGATTATGACCCATTGGGCCCCCCCACCAGGCTGTGTAGCCCCAATGTGGCCCACTTTGGGGCCATTGAGTCAATCTGACCCATTGGCCCCCTTCAGTGTGCCAGGGAACCCCTTTCTTCTTATATTTCGCCAATATTGGGTGGGCACTTGGGCCTTGGAACAAGGCCTCTGGAGACCCAAAAAATCAGGTGCCTCCGGGTAGAGGGAAGCCCTCTTGGCCAAGATAGGGGCCCTTGGACCCCTTTTCCAGCCTGCTCAGCCTGCCAGGGAGCCCATTTGTGGGCTTTTTGGGGGGGTTGAGACCCAAAAAAACAGAATCCTCACGTTTTTTTACCCCAGATACCTTTTTTCGGGTGCCGGATCGGATCGGATCGGGTCGGATCGGATCGGATCGGTGAGTGAGCGGGCGTGCGTGTGTTTACTAGGGATTTGCGGGATTTGGGGGTTCAGGGGTAGCTCGGGGTGCTCGGGTGTTCCTCGGGTGCTCGGGTGAGTGGCGTTGGGTGGGTCTGGGTCGATCGATGGGTGATCGAGTTGGAAGTTGGTGGTTGGTGGAGGAAAAGAGCAGTCGGAGATCGGACCGACTGGTCCGCCATCAGGATTGGCCCCGATTCGCGGGGGGGGGCCGTCTTCCCCCGACCCCGGGAATCGACTTACATATCCCTGTAGGACCCCAGCCCTGGGCCCTACGGGATCCTTCAGGGCCATCGCCAAAGGTTTGAAACCTTGACCGAT